ACATATTTTATTCCTATACATAAACCACTACAAACACGTAACAAAAATGACTACTTTTTGTCTTTAGGTTGTATGATTTTATTTTGGCAAACATCTCTTTTTTTTAAGTGTCATATTCATGACAGCACAGACATGATAAACGAGTCTCTGGACAACGTAACAAACGGAAGATTCAAAAATCACATGCTCTTTTATTTTACATTATGTTGAATTGCCTCATCTAGCATATTCATTCCAAGCATTTAATAGAATGCAAATTCATACAAATAGCATTGGGTAAAATCTGCTGTGTTGAATGCTTCTAGGTTTCTCTTGTATGCCACTGACACTTCCTTAAATTGTACTTTTACAAATAGAAAAAGAATAAGAGCAAAAATACACATCTAGAATTTACCTTCTGTACAAAAAAAAGGCTGATTTACCTTCATTTTGTATAATAAATGTTTTAACATACAAATAAAGAAATAGAATACAAGTGCTGTAGGATTCTAAAAGACTAATTTTGGAACTATCTTAGTATCAAGAATTAGTCTGACTTGTTATAACAGAGACCCTGAGACAGCATAATTACTTTTTAAAGCAAAAATTTAAAAAAATATTCATGAAAATACAACAGCTTTATGTTTTCTCCATGAATAAAATTATCCAAATTCTCTAACAACATCCCTTTTGCATTAATGAAACCAAGGACTCCACTTAGCAAATATAAAACAGAAATTCTTAGAAAAGACAAATCACGGTCTAGGCAATAAGTGCCCCTCTAAAGCCAAAGACTTGGTAGGAGAGGAGGAAAGCAAGGGCATGCGGTAGGAGAGAAGGAAACCTGAACTCTTAAAATTTAAAGAATAGTTATAATAAAGATTCCAACCATCCCAGCCTTGGATTTTACAATTTCATTGACATTTATCTTTTAAGGGAACTTGTAGCTTATGTAAAACACTTCTCAATCCTATTTTCGATTTGCATAGAATTAGGCACAATTTAAGTATATTGCTCTGTTTAAATGTTCCTTATTATTTATAATATTTCCAAATAATTTTCTCTTTACTATGAAATAAGTATTAATATTCCCATTTTATAGAAGAGGAAATTAAGATACAGACAAGTGAATGACTTAGGGAGTCGGAATGGATAAAGAACGAAGATGGGATTTAGAGACAAAAAGGATCAGGAATTAAATATAATACAACCACCTGCTAGCTTTGAGCAAGTCCCTTCGTCTGGGCCTGTCTTTCATTTGTACAATTAGGATAATATCACCTACCTCTCAAATGGTTGATATAAAGGATAAGCAAAACACTTAGCAGACAGTCTTACAGAGTTAGCCATTCAAGAAACATCGGTTCTGCACCAACCCACAACCCCATTTCCTTCATCTGGTACAAGAGGTACAATGTTGTTGTGAGGTACATGAGATAATATAACACAGGTAGAGTGCCTGACAAGTACAGGGCTTAATACATTTATTCTCTCCTTTAATATTCCCTCCCTTACTCTTACCTAGATCCCACAGTTAGTAAGTGGCTGAGCCACAATTAAATCCAAACCTTGGTTCCACTGTAGAATTTCCTCTGCACACACACATACATTTTATTAATGGTAGTACCTTATTTAACTTCAAAAACTAATTTAACCTGTCTGTTTAATCAGTAGTTATTTCAATATGTTCCCAGTAAAATCAAATTCATTTCTAGGGTAGCTCTATTTTTCAATAATCACAAAAGTGATTAATATTTCTGACTTAAAAGTATGTATTTTTAGCATATTTCTACTAGCATTTTTAAAACATATATGCTTAATATTTTATAAAATGTTATAACCCAAAATACAGTTAAAAATCTATTCCTTAGGATTTCACATGCCTAAGCATTTATATGACTCAATTCATTATACTGAATTCAAAGAAATTAGGTGGCTTTTTCATTTTTCCTATTTTTCTCCCAAATAAAGTAATAAAGTAAGGTAGTAAATGTGGTAAATAAATATAGATATACATAAAATGAAACAGATGTGTGAAAAATATGGACCAGACCTGCATTTATGAGACAACGACCTTCAAAACTGGCAGGGAGCTATTAACAATGTTCTTCACAGGGGAGTAATTATATGCAGACTACAACCCTCCTATGTATATGTACTTTCATCTCTCATGGTCTACAAACACATTTGCATATCACAAAGAATAAAAGAGTAGTCTGGTAACTTTGGCAACCCTCACTGAGAGGATGTAAGGCATTTTCATCACCTTAATAATCACATCCTAAATGCCAGATCAGTGTAACTGCTGCAATATGAAAGGCTAGACCAATTCTTCTGACAAAATTTCCTACAAATGTACTATTACAACTCTAACCCTGTGATACATTTCTGATTCTGTACTACACTAAGTGGTCTCTAATTATGTCAAGAAGCACCGAAATCTTTCTAAAATACATACTTTATTTAAACAAAAATATGGTATATAATACTTTCAGAAAAAGGAGTTCAAATTGTCACCAGACTTAAATATACAGTACTGCAATTCCTACAATGTTGGGAATACTGCTTTAACCTAATAAGTGGCTCACAGTTTCTTTCAGTACTGATTTAAAAGACCCCATGCCCAGTATTTTACAAATAAGCATACAAACAGACACACACAGAGAAATGCATAAGAAGAAGAAAAGTTGCTAGGAAAGCTCGATGTCTAAATGCTCAGACAAGCTATAAAAACAAAATGTTAATTTCACATAAGATACTGTCTTTTCTTACATTTCCTTGCATAGGTAAAAGCAATTCGCAATAATGGTGCCTCAAAATAACAATATTTCATACACTTTAGAATTCCTGTGTTTTTTAGATTTCATGCAAGAATCACAATGCACAGTCATTAACATGTCTAGACAGTAGACACTATTGTATGGTCATATTACACTAAGCTTAATTTTTTTATTTTATTTCCATTTTTTCTAAATTTTTATAACATTAAATTATAATAATGTAAAGTAAGACCATCAGGAAAATAAACACAACCATATAGTAAGCATAAATCCAGGAAGTCCTCTTTAACTTAAAAATAGTATTTTCTCAATGGTAATAAAAACTACTCACAACTGTAATACCAATCAACCAACTTTAAAGTTTCCACTAACTGGGAAAAAAACAGTTGCCTTATTGTAATACCTTAAAACCATAAATTTATCACTAGTGGTGTGGAGACATGAATTGTGTTTCATTTTTACTATACCTTGGCAAAAGTCAATGTCCTGTCCTAGAAATTTTATTTCACCGTATGTATAACCCAAAAGTATTTTTTAGGACTCACGAAGTCTAAATCTTGTACTGCCCTTGATATTCTATTGTGTAAATGTTTTAAATTTTAAAACAAAAAGATAAATACTTTAAAAGCTCTGTACAATGTATTCAAATGGTGAAAATGTCAATTCAGTGTTTTCTCCTCCCCCACTAAAAAGCAAAAAACTGTATGTGACACATAAAGATACAATAGAAACAAAAAAATAACATGCCACTTATTCAGTAAGGAAAGAAACACATAACATCTCTATCACATTCAACTACAACAATCCTTTCACTTGATGGCTAGCATCTTTATGACTGTTTAATCTATACATAAGTGGCCTTAAAAAGAGATTTTGTTCTCTTTCTCTACCCTCGTGGATCTTTGGCAGCAGTCATCACTTATGCCCAGAGCTGGTTTTAGTGGGGGCGGGGGGGGGAGGGTAGTGGAGAGAAGGGTGAACTGAGCACGCAGTCAGCAGAGGCAGCTGCTCTCATACACTACCCAGCGTCTTTCTCCTACACCGCTATTTTCCGCTATTGAGCACTGTCAGCAATAAATAGATAAACAAACAAACAAACTAAAATAAATAAGGGGTTAGGGAGACAAAGAGGATAGGACCCAGGGCGGACAGTTTTTGTCTGCCACATCTGAGGCGAGAAGCCCCCTCTGATTTCTTGCTGCAAATAGGGATCAGGTGAGACCCCTCTGGGTCCAACTCAATTTGCTTCTCCAGAAAGAACAGTTTCCGACAGCGAGAGCAGGATCCACCCGGCTGCTGAACTAAACACCGGAGCATTGTCAATGTTTTTTGTTTTTTATCTTTGACTTTATAAAGGAGGAGAGAGGGCTGTGACTGCGTTCCTGGGAAAGACTACTACTCCTTACGTGCCACACAGCAGTAGTGAAGGAACATATGCCAGAGGTTGTAAAAATCCCTTCAAAAATACCAGGTTTTGTAGAAATGCTGTGCAGCGTTACCGTATTGTTGGCGTTCTTTGTAAGTCATTGATTCTTTCTCACCACCGTCAACCCTCAAATAGCTGGGACTTGTTGCCAAATCTTCACCTCACGACCCCCAGAACTGACCAACAGAATAAGATTTGGGGAGCGAACGGCGGGAGGGGGACCTAGACCTTTAACACCCCGAGAGCTGGATGGGTTCCCTTCCACAGGCCACTCTGCATGGGCTGTGCGTTCAGTTCTACCTTCGGAAAGCTCTGACTCAGAAATGCTGGGCGGGAGGGGCGGGGGGGGGGGGTGAATTATGACACAGACCATTATCCTTCCAACCAAAGAGAGATAAGAAAAGCCTGCTAGCCATCCTTAACGGGCCGGAGAACCAAAGCCTGCGTCCCCCGACGGGGCGGCCCGGGAAGGAGCCTCCAGCCCTGCCCTCCTCCCTTCGGACGCCCGCCCGCGGAAGATGCTCCCAACCTGGGCTGGCTCCGGAAGCCAGGATGGAGCACCCTACCCTGGGAGAGAGCGGGGAATGAGTTGAGGGTCCGGGATGCGGGGACTTGCCCCGCGGAGGCACCAAGCGCCCAGTGCCCGGGCCGGACAGGGGCTCCGGCAGAGGCGCCCTGCAACCCGGCCGTCCTCCGCAACCAGGGGCGGACAAAGCTTTGGGGTGGGGGAGCCACTCTGAGGTGGCGGTCGCGGGCCAAGTTGGCCAGACTCGGGTGACGAGGGGGTCCTGCCGGCAGGGCGGCGCGGCACTGACCTGGATGGTGCAGGTGTACTCGCTGTCGTCCAGCAGCCGCACGGTGCAGCTGTACTCGCGCTCCAGGCTCCTGCTGCTGCCGCTCATCAACCTGCTCAGCATCTTCCCGCCCGCCCGCCCCCGGGAGAGACGCGGTGGTGCTGCGGACCCGGACAGGCGCCACTCAGCCAGGCAGCTCCGCGCCGAACCCGGGCACCTGCACCATCACCACAGCCGGGTCGCCGCCGCTGCCTCCTGCTGGCCCCGCTCCTCCCGCTCCTCGGTCCCCGCCACCGCCTCCCCCAGCCCGGAGCAAACGCCGCACTCTCTCTCCTAGGTGCCCCAATGCTGGTGCCCAGCTCGTGGGGCGGGGCCTCGGCCAGAGGGGGCCCAATGGCAGTCAGCGCGGCGGAACCGAGTGGCAGACAGTACAGCCAATAGATATAGTGTATTAGAATGATGGACAAGTTGGGAAAGCAATCATGGGAGAGCAGTCGGAAAGAACCAAACTGGACCAGCCCTCTGGCGTCCAGAGCTTGGGTCTCTCCTATTCCACGGTTTCTACAAATGCTATTTCTCCTCCCCTGAGCAGGTTTGGGCACTCGGCTGGATCTTCGCCTGCTGTTTGGAATACATTGGGCTGTGCTTCAGAGGTCAAGTCATATACTCTGCAACGCCACGGTTCCGCCCTCTCACGAGCCGGGGAGGTGCTAGATCACAATCCTGGCACCTGCAGAATGCAGGCACCTTCCGCTATGGACCAGCACGCTGCCCCCACCTGCACTCCATCCCAAGTGACCCCGACAAGCCTTTCTGCCCTAGCCCTCTTATTTTGGAGAATAACTCTTTACAGAAATTACTTAGGTAAAAGCTGGATGGTTCACGGAGGTTTTTAAGCACCCAGGGTTAATCCCTAGAAAACCCTTCACTCTTAACAACCTTTGCCGCTTCCTTTTATTTTCAGAAGACAAAAGGAGAGTGAGGCGTGCTCCTTCAGCCGGCAGGGAGCAGAGGAAGCGATGGATCAATTCCCTGCACCTTTAAAGCTAGAATTATGTCTGCAGACTTCTTCAACAAAACACAAAGAAAAAATTCATCTGCCCTCTGTGATCCCACATCTAAACACCTCATGTTATTTACAAAAACTTCACTAAGAGATAATATCCCCCCTCGAAATTTTCGATGGAAGGAAATGCTGTAAAAGAATCATTTCAACACAGAACATTAATGTTGTGATAAATATGTTAATTTAAAAATGAAACATACATAAATTCCTATTTTTATTTATACTGTTCTTGTTTATTTACACGCATAACAAAAATGAAACCCTACAATGCCCTAAAAATATACAACCTCTAAAGTATGCTTTCTCCCTGGTGTCTTTGGATTCAGTATTTCTCCCAATTTATTCACTTAGAACACTCCTCTCACCCTTTCTGTTATCAAGTCAATAAACTGGATTGCTTTTTAAATTACTTGCATTCTTCCAGTAGCCTTCAATACCCATAAAAGGGGATTCCTTTTGTCAATACAACCCTGGAACCTAGAGCCAGTGAGTCAAATATTCTAACCATAAAACCAAATGTGAGTTCTTCTATTCTGTAGCCCTAGCAGGCAACCTGATGCCTAAAACAAAATAGGTATCCAATAAATGTTTGTTCAATAAAGTAAATGGAATTGATAATTATTTTACAGCATCTAAATCTCAGGGGAAGATCTGTAAAGAAACTAAGAGAATTTCAAGAAGGCCCTGAAGATGAATGAAATTATTAATATGCCAAAGTGATATTGTACAAAGCTCAGCTTTGTTGTGTCATTGAGAGAAGATAATGAGATTTCAGACAGGCAGAACTTTTGTTGAAAGAACAGTGCTATTTGTTATAGAATCTATAAGAGCAAGAAAAAAATATCCCAGAAGCTAGAGGAAGACCAGAATTGTGACGGTAGGGAAGTGTCTTTAACAGCTTATGCAAATAAGCAGCTGTTAGAATAAAAATGCAAAGCATCATGAATTCAGAAAAACTCTAAAAAAGTAAATGCAATCTTTTTTCAAAGTATGACCATAGATGCAATCAACAGGGATGAGACTGGCTGCTATGCCAATGCATTAAGTAACATTCCTGCTCAGCCTAAGAAAATCATGTTAGCTTAGATGTTCACCTCATTAAAAAAACATGGCAGATATTTATCCATGTTTATGCATAATATCCATAAAAAGCTTCAAACTCTCCCTTACTCTCCGATACAGGACATTTTGTGAAGAAAACAGAGGGTCCCCTGGCTGGTGTGGCTCAGTGGATTGAGTGCCGGCCTACAAACCAAAGGGTCTCTGGTTCAATTCCCAGTTAGGGCACATGCCTGGATTGTGAGCTAGGTCCTCAGTCAGGGGTGCACGAGAGGCAACCACACATTGATGTTTCTTTCCCTCTTTTTCTCTTTCCCTTCCCTTCTCTCTAAAAATAAATAAATCTTCTTTAAAAAAAACAGAGGGTAGACAAATAATGGAAGAAAAGTAAAAATCAATCAATTTCTGGTTACATATATTTCTCTACGAGGCTCAAGAGCAGAAGCCTAAGGGCAACTAAAAAGAAAGGGCTCATATCAATATCAAACTGAGGAATACTTTGTTTACCTTCATTTTTCTCAAGGCAATGGAGCAGGATGCTCAAGATAGAAAGGGTTTGTTTAATAAAAGACCTCTTTAGGGGTGGGCTGGGTAGAAGGGGGCAAAGGGGAAAATAATTGGAACCACTGTAAAGCATAAAAATAAAAAACACTTAAAAAGGCCTCTTCAGAATTAGTGTGATAGCTTTCATGAGTTTTTGAGTTAATGGAGGCCATATTTAAAATAAAAGTCCCAACTATTATACAATGACTCAGGGGTCTTCCCTTCCAAATTATCAGAGCATCAAATCCCTTTACAGTTTCCTTCACAGTGCTTCCCCAGGGGAGGTACTGTTACCCACATATGCCTAAATAACTGAACTACCCTTAACTCTGCTTCAGACGCCCCATACCCTGATGTTCTGGGACACTGAGCTCTTTCCAGCCAGTATAACCTTCAGCATTGCCTTGAGATTTGGCAGAAAGGGGCACTGCCCTCTCTTCGCCAGGACATCACAAACAAAAGCCCTTCCCGTCAAAATCTCCTCACAGCAGAGCTAAGATTGCTGTTTTATATAACAATATTAGAAAGGAAAAATAATCTAGATTACTCTGAAGGTATGATATGGCTACTCTCAAAGCCTCTATGAACTAGACACAGGCCTGCCTCAGTGTCAACATCCATGTGGCTGAAGATAGCTACCCTCTCCATTGAAAGTTCCGCTGACCATGTCTTGGGCATCAAGCCCAACCACCTTCAAACTGAGAAGAAAAACAACTCACCTGGCCCAGTTTAAGGTCTACTTTCAAAGTCCCATTTTCTGTCCCAGATGCTGCCTGTCCCTAGGAAAACTGACCATGGGAATATCTAGTCTTTTAGAAGAAACCTCACCCTACACACTCCAAGGATGTGACCTTCACCTCAGACCCAACTGGGCTATCACCTTAGAACATATCATCCAACATATGGACATTTTCTCAGTTATTCAGTCTGAATTATTCAGTCTTTACATGAAGGTCCAAGTAGAACATCGTCAAAGTCAGTCCAGCCCCTTTGACTAATTATTTCTCCAGTAAGCAGTGAGGATCATGGCTGTCTTTGCTTTCCTGAGTACTTTAAATCTCAGCTTCCGTTCTCCTAAGAGCAGGGACTCAAACAAGGACATTCACATCTCCACAGAAACAATATATTGACACATACACAATCTAAATCTACAGAGAGCAGGAGCAGCTCTGTTAAGAAGCAATGCTCATGCTCCACATACAAAGATTTGCCTAGCTGAATGGAGAACTCTCCTTCTCAGTACAGCATCTACATTCAGGTTAATATTTACTTTATAGTTTTCCAAGAGAATCCCAAACAAGATGGACACAGAGAGGCCCACTCAAGATACATCATAATTAAAATGCCAAAGTTTAAAGATAAAGAGAGAATCTTAAAAGCAGCAAGAGAAAAGAAGTTAGTTACCTCCAAGGGAGTTCCCAGAAGACTGTCAGCCAATTTCTCAAAAGAAACTGCAAGCTGGAAGAGAGCAGCAAGAAATACTCAAAGTCATGAAAAATGGGGACCTACAGCCAAGATTGCTCTACCTAGCAAAACTATCATTTAGAATCAAAGGGCAGATAAGGAGCTTCTCAGATAAGAAAAAACTAAAGGAGTTCATCATCACCAAACCATTATCATATAAAATGTTAAAGGGACTTATTTAAGAAGATAATGATCAAAACAATGAACAAAAAATGGCAAAAATATGTTTCTTTCAACAATTGAATCTGAAAAACAAACTAAGCAAACAAGAAGAACAAAGACAGAATCATGGATGTAGAGACTTTTGACAGTTCCTGGAAGGGAGGCGGGTTCAGGGCAATAGGTGAAGAGGTGAGGGGATTAAGAAATACAAATCAGTAGTTATAGAATAGCACAGGGATGTAAAGTACAGTACATGAAGTAGAGTAGCCAAAGAATCTGTACATATGACCAACAGACATGAACAAAAGTGTGGGGATCACCCAAGGAAGTGAGGGGTGCTGGATGGAGGGAGGCAAAGGGGATAAAATTGGGACAACTATAATAGCATAATCAATAAAATATAATTTAAAAAACAAAAAACTGCCCTGGCTGGCGTACCTCAGTAGATTGAGCGCGGGCTGGGAACCAAAGTGTCCCAGGTTCGATTCCCAGCCAGGGTACATTCCTGGGTTGCAGGCTATAACCCCCAGCAACCGCACATTGATGTTTCTCTCTCTCTCTCTCTCTCTCTCTCTCCCTTCCCTCCCTAAAAATAAATAAAAAAATAAAATCTTAAAAAAAAGAATTGAACTTACTGTAACTTAAATAATAGAAATATTTTTAAAAAAAACAAAGAATGCTAATGATTTACATTTAAATTGAGGAATAATGTATGACTTTGGTAATAAAAGGTATAAATTATGGCCATATATTAAAAGTGGATTGTTCTAATTTCTGGATGGGTTAAAAGGGCAAACTGAAAGGGACTGGGAAAGTCACAGAAGGATCG